GGAGTCTTTAAAGGGCTGAAAAATGCCCTGACTGTATTTTGTTATATTTGAATTCAGAGTCGGTTAAAAGCAATGTAATGACTATACTCTTGGGCATTTTAAGGTCAGAGTATTTGAAGAAAAGGAAATGCAATCCAAAATACATGGAATGACTTTCAAATATTTTAGGAAGACTGTTTTGTCATGAAGCTGTGTGGTAATGTTTTTCTTTAAATCCTGGTGCATCAACTGATGAGGTTGGTGAACACACCATTCTCATTTTATTTTATATTTTATGTTATTTTCAGGTGGCAAAGGAAGAATCTGTGTCCAAGGCAACAGTGTGGGAGCAAATGGACCGGCTTGTTCTGAGAGGAGGAATGGCAGTCGGTCGGCCGAGCTGTGCCAAGGACAAGCCTGCCTCTTCAGGTATGCTGCTGCTCTACATGTGTGTGCTATTAGTGATGTTAAACACTGAGTTTAATATTTACAGTAAGAACAGAAATCCTCCGTTTACTCACTGCATTTGTTGAGTATCTGAAAAGATTTTTTGGCCTGAAACATCTAATATCTACTTGACTTTTCCTCTTGTTTTATTAGGTGGCGAGTTGATGCTTGGTCCCCATGCTCAGCCACTTGCGGTGGTGGAGCCCAGACTAGAATTGTGCGCTGCATGAAGGGTCCCGAGGGCAGGTCAGAAGAGGTAGAGAGTCCAAATTGCCTTGGAGCAGGAAGGAAACCCTCTGATGCAAGGCCGTGCAACCTCCTTCCCTGTGCAAGATGGGCCACAACCTCCTGGGGGCCGGTGAGCCAAGATATTATTGTGCACAAGCTTGTTTTCACAAGGTTTTATCATAAAAACACAGTTTAGACTCAAAACCTTCCCCTAGCAAGAAAATATTTTTGTAATGATAGCTAGGAAATCTGATGAATTCTCCTCTTCCAGTGTCATGGCAGGTGTGTGGGTCCCAGTTTGGCCACACAGCACCGCCATGTCTACTGCCAAGACCCCAATGGTACCAGAGTCCCCCACAGGATGTGCACTGGGCTCCACAGGTAAAGATGGGAATAAGATTAAGAATGTTTAATACTGTTGGTGATATGTGCTATTGATAGACATTTAAAAAATCCAGTTATGGTTCATATTACAAAGGAAAAAAAAGGCTATTCAGCAGAATACTATTTCAGGTATGTTCATATTTTAGGCCAAGCTCTTTGAGGAATTGCACCGCTGAGGCTTGTGCACTTCAGTGGCTCGTGGGGCCTTGGACACAGTGCACCGCCACGTGCGGACGGCACGGTTTCCAATCACGCCAGGTGACCTGCGTCCACCTTCGGACCAGCAAGGCCTTCCGAGACCGTCACTGCACGTGGAGGCCTCGGCCTGCCAGCTGGCAGCGATGTAACATTTTATCCTGCGGCAGAGGTGAGAAAAAGTTACAGTAATGTCAAGTGTGAGTCATAAATAAATGTACAACATATTGTGGGTTTTTGCGAATTTTATTTTAGTTTCTATTGCTTAAAAATGTTTGGGTTATTTTTTTTAATTGCAACTTTATGATTTTCTTCTTTTGAGGGGAAGAAATTCTAGAAGGCAGAAATTTAGGAAGTTCAGAATAGATTTTACAATGAGAAGTGCAACTGAAATGCTCCGTGAGCCTGCTTGCAAAAGCAGAACACCATACAGTGCCTTCATAGGCAGTCACTGAATCCTCTTATTGCATGTTTTTGATCACATTGACATCTTTGCCTTATTAAAGAATCACACCAATAACGCCTGATGGGTCAAACTTTGTTTTCTAGCAACACAAAATTGTTGCAGTGGTTTTAGTTAAATGCAGTTGCTCACACTCTACCTTCATTTCAACTAAAAAACAAAACAAAAGATGAAAAGACAATCTAGTTGTGTTTGCACTTGAGCCCAGCGCATAATAAACATAGCTGTGGTTTCATATGATGAGACTTGGCAGTATCTGTCTCTAACTTGTCTGTTGGCACCCCATTACAAAACTGGTGAAGGAAACTTTGCCCGCGGTGCTTAAAGTGCTGAAAAATTGCCTTAAAAAACCAACAAAAGCCTCTGCTGTGTCAGGTATTTCCAGAAACAATGTGCCGGTTAATTAGAAAAAGCCACAGACCACAGTGAGAGAAAGATTGCCAAATGTTTACGAATTAGAGCACTGGACCTGAAATTTCCAACAATATATCCATAGCTAAGCACTACAGCCCACAGCCGCGACTGTGCATAGTAAAACGTATCCTCTGTATATTCCAGCAGGAGAGTGCCGGGACAGCACGAGGTACTGTGAGAAGGTGCGGCAGCTGGAGCTTTGCCTGCTGCCCCAGTTTAAGAGCCGCTGCTGTTTCTCCTGCCGAAACACCTGAAACGGAGAAGTGAGAACGTTGGTGAAAAATCTGGAAAGGTCAGGGAAGGTGTCACGGAAGTCAAGGAACCTCTATGCCTATCCCAACACCCTCCAATGTCTTCAACGATCGCTCCTGGATTCCCGAGTGCGGAGGAATGTTTGTTTGTCATACCCAAAAGTGACTAAAATCGACTTTTAAGATACCATACGTGGGTTTGAATTCAAAATTATTGCTACGAGAGGAAACCACGTCTGTTAATGAAGGCTTTGGTTTTACTTCTTTATTTTTAATTTAAATCTGAAGTTCGTACAAACAGCTTTTGTGTCCCAAACAGTAGATATATTTCCAGTGTGAGCAGTAGGAACTCTGCGGTTTCATAAAGGGGAACTAAAGCCTTAAAAGCCGTGATTACGGTCATGTCCACATTAACAAAATCTGAGCAACGTAATCTTCAGTTTCAGGTTCCTGAGCAAACGGAAGATCACTATCATGTTCCTCTGAAACACAATCACTCCACGCCAAATTAAGTTTATATGATTGCATTCAAATTTACGAAGTAATGCGATGTTAATAATCGGCCTAAATAGATGACTGACTTCATACCAAGGAATTCTGGGTAAACGCCAAGCTTGTGATAACCACTGGATAGCTCTGTGTTTGTCTTTACTGCTAGGATTTTGATGCTAAGTGAGCTTTTATGAACGTAGCAATGGGTTAAAAAGGGGTGGAAAACTGAAAACCAGCTTGATGCTGCTTAAGTGAGAACGATGACAAAATAAAGCCTAGTATTAAATAACTGGGACACATTTAGTACCAGCCACACTTGGAAAAAAGTTTTCATAAACATAAAATATTAATTTTAAGCAAAATGCAACAAAAATGCATAAAATCAAAGGTTTATTTATTCAAATAATTAATCAGTAAGGGAAATGTGGTCGGTGTAAACTGAATGTATACCATATATCAAGTAACTTGAATTTGACCAGATTACATTAAGTTTATCATTTTACATGTACTTATGTTACAAAATTACACGGAAAGTTTACATTTAATCAAATTAAAGCCAACATTTTGGGCATGAATAGATTTAGCACATGTTGACCATAATAACTGGTCTTTCAAAGCAGCAAGGGAGTCCGATTGCAGTTTTTAGAGGGTAAGACTCAATTTTATTTTATTTTTTTTGCATGGGTTGCACTATAGGAGGTGTACGACTGAAGCAAATAATGTTTTGGGAAAAAAAGGATTTTGCACTCAGAACTCATCCAAGTCTTTGTTAAAAACATGGCTTGCAGAGTTAATTTCTTTCTTTCTTTTTACGTAGTTTGTAAAGTTGCATTGTTTCAGTATTTTTGTTTTGTGATATTTCTTGAAAAGATATTTGCCAAACGTGTCCCTTTAACCACTCTGTGAAGTTACACACGCTCACACGCAGATCTGATAAAGTTCATCCAGTCCGCCATGTGTCACAGTGTCATATTTACATGTCTGTGAATGTATGATGGGAAGCTTTGCAGTGATCATTACTAATGTGTCGTGTGGACACATTAGTAATGGACTTGGTCTCTGCGTCCTGGGTTCCACAGAGCTTCACTGTCATCAGGTGCAACCCAGCTTTAGCTGAAGACTACTTGGCCCTACGCTGAGGTGTGGTTATGTGATATCACAAGAGGAAAATATTGTATCACATGTCATTTTCTTAAGTTATGTAGATATTTGTCATTTAAACTATTTATTTCCATGTGTGTCCCTGAGCAAAGTTTCTGTAAATATTACAGGGGTGGGTCTCTCCTTGCGGCTGATGGTAGTTGATGTGCATGCGATGGGGACCCCCTGCTGGTGACTTGATGTGTTGCTCCCTATCGTTAAATAAAACCAAATACATTCCTTTTTATAATCTGGTTGTTGTGATTGCTCTTCTTTCTTCTATATATATATATTTTTTTCATGGGAAAGTCCATATTATGGAGTCAGAGATCAACATTAACAAATCGACATTGATGTCTGTATTACAAATAACAAGAGCAGGAATTTCAACATATAGTAGTGCTGTCATCATGAAAAGGGACACTTCCTGTCAGGATCTGAAGGCGCCCTAACCGGTCGACCTGCCAGTGTGTATATTTGTGTGCGTGTGTATGTGTCTCTCCTATCGCCCTGTCTTCCCCTCCGGCTCCGCTGTGATGTGTTAGGGGGTAACCTAGCAACAGGCTACCTCCGACCCAGAAGTGCTGTCGCCCGGAGCTGCCGCACCTGCAGTCAATCCACCAGCTGCTGCCAATCAACTACCATCTTCAGCAGAAAAAAAAACAAACAAAAAAACATCTTCAGCAGGGCTACTTAATGGTGTGGCTGAGCGACAGACAGCGCTGGAGTATTGCACTAAGCCTGGTAGTGTTTTCGAGTCGCTAATGTTATTGAACTACTGTCTAATCTTCGTACTCATTTTGCTGTCGTGTGTGTGTGTTCACCCAGGGATTGACGGAGGATTTACGGACACAAAGGAAGCACTTGGAGGAGAGACGGGCACTACCACGCACTATCACCATTGTTGCACATTTGAACTGTTGTCACCTTGCTACACTGTGAATAAATGCACTGTCATTATTTCTGAGCTCCGCGCCTGAGTCCACTCTTTAACAACCGTGACACTTCCCTTTTTATATCTGATATAAACTTGTCTCTCTCTGTTTCTCAACTTGGGGAGAGGAACAGCAGTTCACAAGATCCCTGTTGGCGTCAAAAGGAGGAAATTCTTGCCATGATCTGACTATATAACCACGTCATTTTTTGATTCATTCTCAGGACTGTTTTACATTAAATTATGGTGGAAAAGGGTTTTCATCATTCCTGTTTGACAGCAGTGAGGGTGCTGCGAGTTTCTCTTGTGGATGAACTAGAAGGACAGGTCGACTCTCTGGTAGAATTCCTAGTGTGCCGGGAAGTGTTCACTCGAGATGATCGCGAGGAAGTGTTATGTCAGCTGGGTCCCCGGATGAGAGTGAGAAAGGTGCTGGATATCCTGGAGTGCAAAGGCGAGGAAGCGGCCAGGATTTTTCTTAATGTTAAAAGTCACTATCAGTACTGCAAAGAAGCGGATCCACCTCAGTCCAGAGGTATGCATTTTCAATTTTAGCCACAGGAATGTCATTGATCAGCAGTGTTGGGCAAGTTACTTTGAAAAAGTAATTAATTATAGTTACTAGTTACTACTTCAAAAAAATAACTGAGTTAGTAACTGAGTTACAAGATTCTAAAAGTAATTAATTACTTGAAAAGTAACTATTGCGTTACTTTAAAAAAAAAAAAAAAGTTTAACCCCCTGGGGATCCAGGGTATAATTGGCCATTTTTAACTACTTGTGATTTTCCCTCCACATTTCACCTTTAAAAACTGTTTATTTGCCTTGTTTGGTATCATTCTTTTCAGCACAACCTCACGTGTCTGAATTTACAGTTATGTTTTCATTTTGACATACTGTATTAACACAATTGATCTAAAATCATCAAAAAACAAAATCACAGTAGAAAAAGTTATATTTTTTTACTGTAACAAAAACAAACATGTTTAATGAATCATATTTCATAACTTTAAATACAAATATAAATCCTATGCACAAGTTTTGCAAACAACAAATTCATTTGCATCCATTTACCTTTTACCTTGAGTTTTTAAATAACCCTTTCAAACTATTTACAGAACAATCAGCTGTTCTGCATTCAAGAAGATGCCTCACAAATTATTTGTGCCACTCCAAAGAAATAATTTCTGTCCATTATAAAGGAGAACATCACAGCCTGATACCTGCAGGTCTGACAGCAGCAGGTGTATCACTCCTGTTTCTAACCTGGAGACAGCAGTCGCCTCATTGTTCTGACACACAACACAAAACTATCAACAACACTGCACACTAACTACACAAGCTACACTACCGTTGATCAGTTCAAGATAAGGTTTTCTCTTAACTTTAGTTGGCAGGGGTGTGTCTGAAAGGGGGAAACAGAATGGTAATTTATACCGCAAGTACAGTCTAGTCAAGCATTGTACTGAAATGTATCCTGTCCTCATCCTATATACCTGTATATATTTTTTCCAGCTATACAAGTACATATGAGTGGAAGTGGAAAATTATACTGAGCTTCTTTTCTTCTACAGAGTACAGCAAAGCGAAACAAAAACACAAAGAAGTCCTGAGGCGCAGGAGTGAGAGCATGCTTTTCTACAACTCCCGGCACGGAGAGAAAATTCAGTTTTCCGAACATTATGTCAATCTTCTCTTAGTTGATGGACACCAGGGATTAGAAAATAAAAGGCATGAGGTGCTGACCTTTGGACAGAAGCGACTGTGTCAGCAGAAGTCAGCAGTGCATGAGAAAATCACACCAGCTGAACTGTTCTCATGTGCAAAGGCAGTTCGTCCAGTCAGGAAGGTTCTGGTATCGGGGGTGGCTGGAATCGGAAAAACTATCCTGGTGCAAAAGATGTTGTTTGATTTTGGGGGAAACAAGGACCACCTTGCCTTTGACTTCATCATACACATGACCTTCAGAGACTTGAATCTGATTGACGAGCCCACAAGTTTACGAGAGTTGATCTTGCGCAAAAACAGGCACCTTGCTAAAGAACTGGATAACATCTTGGCAAATGACAACAAACTGCTGATCATCCTGGATGGCTTTGATGAGTTCAGACACTACAGGAGCTGCGACGTAGACTCTTTTGTAACTGAACCAGATGAAGATGCAGAGGTTATGGAGGTTATTGGAAGCTTGATGCAGGGTGAACTACTACCAAATGCTTCTGTGTTGCTCACAAGTCGGCCTGCAGCTATCAGCTACATCCCTGTGGGCTGCATTGACCGCTTTGTGCTCATTGCAGGGTTCTCCTTGGCCGAGGTTCAAGACTTCTTTTTTCGTTACTTCCAGGACAGGACCCTTGCTGACCGCATGTTCTCAGTGGTATCTGCAAATGAACTAATGCTGACACTGTGCTACATACCTGCATTTTGCTACATTGTCTGCTGCATCCTCAAAGAGAGCAAAGATCTTTGTGGGGGAAGCCCAAAGACCATGACGGATATTTACGTGCAGTACTTGGTGGCTTTGCTTCGATCTCACACCCAAGCGAGAGCTGAAACATGTCTTCAAGACCAAAGAGCGGGGGCCATCCAGCAGCTGTCTGATACTGTTTTAAAGCTGGGTCGACTTGCCTTCAAAAACCTACTGGAGCATCAAACATTATTTTATAGCAGCGACCGAGAGGTGGCAGCGTTAGAAGGGTCCAGCCTCGTTAGTGCTTTCCTCGACAAGACAATTGCAGAAGAACCTGGGTTCACTGAAGAGGTCTATTCATTTGCTCATCTTACTATTCAAGAGTTCTTTGCTGCAGTTTACTGTGCGGTGACGGATCACCCTTTGCCTGACGCACTTGAGCGCACATCATGTCCCAGAGATGTATCCAACAGTGGACACTTGGACCTTTTCAGCCGCTTCCTCTCTGGAATCCTCTCTGAGCGCAATGCCAGTCTTCTATCTAGGCAGGTGGGGATTTGCTGCCACAAAGAAAAAGCGAACGCATATCGTGAGAAAATCATCAGAGAACTGAGAGCTCTCTGTGAAAGTGGAGCCCACATCCTAAACCATTTGCATTGCTTGTTTGAGCAACAGGACCCCTCGTTAGCACTTGATGTGCAACCAAAGATGCTAAGAGTTAATGTTAGCGATGAAACGCTATCTCAAATGGACTACAATGCTATCAAGTATTTCCTAAACCTCACCGAGGGTAAAATATCAGAGCTGGATCTTACTGGGACTGGAATAAGCTGTGATACACTAAGAGATATTCAACATCTTTTGGGTAGATGTGAGAGTCTTTGGTGAGTTTCAGGTAAAATTCTGTTTCCAAGCTTTGATAGACCCTTCCATGTGGTTGCAACCTTATCAATTGCTTATGGAGCGCCACATATGGAAAGTGCTTGCACAATATGTATTTACTGCTCCATCTCATGTTTAAGGCTTGGAGAAAACAACCTGGATATGGAAGCAGTACAGGTCATTGCTGATGTGTTGAAGGAATCGGAGAATATTGTGTACCTCGGGTAAGGTGTTAGTTAGTTTTACCACATTTTTGGAACAATGTATGACAAAGAATCATCCAGATGATGTCACCCTTTCTGTTCCTCTTAGACTTGGGTGGACAAACATTAGTGATGACGAGCTTCTGGTCCTTGCTTGTGCAATAGGGGTTAAAAAAAAGCTTCAGGAGTTGTGGTAAGAAACTTTTTGAGTTGTTTTATTATCCTGGCACATGATGCTGATGTTTGAGGAAATGGGAGTTTTCCAGTGTCGAGGATGACTGTGACGGTTTGATTTAAGAGTTTTTAAAAGGTCATAGATTACACCTATGTTGTAATAAACTACGCTTATATTTAAAGGCTTTTTTATGTAAATATGAAAAACCTTTATTGTTCCCCCTGTGATGGAACAGGATGGAAGGCAACCGAGTGAGTTACAGAGGTCTGCTGTCATTAAGCGACTTGATCCCAGATCCTCTGAAAAACGTTGTGTGAGTATTGAATTTTGAATCAAATAATTCAAAACAATACCTCACTAATTTGTATTTTCCTAGAGCTTATCCCCTTTCCCTCTTCCTATAGGGCGATATGGAATGACCTGACTGACAGAGAGCCAGAGTGCATGCAGACCAAGGCCAGCATCACTGTGAATTTCACAGACGATGCTTCGTGGGCAGAGTGGCAGAAATGGGTTTTTAAAAGGTGTGAGGTCAGCAGCAATGAGAAGTTGCTGATGGTACTTCACAAAGTGTGCAACATATCGACCCACCACTTCGAAGCTCAGTGGACGAAGACCTTCTACAGTCAACTTTCACAGCTCATCAAGAGCAGAATTGAGAGCTGTACCGAGGAGGACATGTGCAAGAAGCTCAAAAAGTTTGACAGCTTTTTGGAGCTATGATGAAAAACACTGCCCTTATGTTACAAGCTGTTAATAAATTGTTGGTTTGCATTGTGATTGTTTTTTTGAAGACAGTAATAATAATAATATAATAACTGTAATAATCATAAAAATAATTTTTAAAAAGCAATATACCTCTCCCTCCCCTGCAAACAAGTCTCAAAATGGATAAAGAGAAATCATATCAGTTTCATCAATCACAGAAGTAATTTCTTTACTTCTGTTTTCACAGTAGAGAATTATGACATCCAGAAGTATAGGGTCATTATAAATGGTAGTTTACACTTCATTACATTCCCCAGAGATTTTTGGTCCGTGTTGACATGATAGCATCACACGGTTGCTGCAGATTTGTTGGCTGTACATCCATGATGTACCCATTCTGCCAAAAGTGCTCTGTTGGATTGAGATCTGGTGACTGTGGGTGTCATTTGAGTACAGTAGACTCATTGTCATGTTCAAGAAACCAGTTTGACAAGATCTGAGATTTTTGACATGAGCCAGCTATGTGAGTGCACTGGAGTCATAATTACCAATGAGCCTCAGTGTGTATGTCAAGAAAATATTCCCTATGCCATTAAAGCAGTTGCAAGAGCAGGCTAAGGTGCTTGGAAAGAAAAGCGTCTGGACTTCTTTAAGTTGCTTGAAGAAGTTTCACCTCTCATCCGAGAAGCTTCTTCAGTTCTAAGGTCAAATGGTGGAGAGTCTCACATTTAAGCCCTACGGGAGTGTGCCTCCAAAGAGGATCATTGAACCCCCAATGATCTCTTACCTAATCACACAAGCCAAGGAGTGAAAACGGGTGTAGGTCACAATCAGCCAAGGAGGATGATTAGGGGGTCGATTTTCCCTCTTGGGGTCCAAACGCTTTTCTTTCCAACCTCCTTAGACAACAATGACCTGGATGACTGAGGACCTTCACAGACAGATGAAAAGTGGTTTTTGTGGTCCACATGGATAGGTGGGGAAAAAAAGAAAATTAGTGACTGGCCCGTACGGGGATCGAACCCGCGACCTTGGCGTTATTAGCACCACGCTCTAACCAACTGAGCTAACCGGCCAAGTTGTAAAAAGCGACGAAAAAGTACGTATAAAAATGATAGTCACTATGTATTGAAAACTTGTTTTTAGTGATAGACGACTTACTTTCACCTTACGGACTTTGACAGAAATAAACAGGGCTGAATACAAAATAAAACTAAAAAAGTTTCGAAATTTGAAAATTTTGTGGTAGTGAAAATAAAAGAATAAACATGTTAATGTTGAAGAACAGATAGCATAACAAGCATTGCATCCATTATCAATATTATTCTATTTCTAAAAGCCTTTTTACAAATTATTTATTGACATTTTAACATGTGTATAAAGTGATTATTATTATCGTTATTATGCTATTATTTTACTATCAAATACAATGAGTGATTAGGTAGACTGTGCTGTGTTTTTTATTATCTTACATTTAGATTCACTAGTTTGCAGAATAAAATGTGGATGTTACAACCTTCGTGTTTGTTGTTTTTTTACGGTGGAATTATTCACCGGAAGTTGTGTAAGTTGCGGCTCGCTCTTATGACGAATTTACCGTGCGACGTTACTTTGCGAAGCAGCGCCGTTTGCGTGAAGATATCACGCTAGCTGCTGGTTTGTTATTTTTCTGAACTCGGTGTTAGTCTGGACTGTTTTCGCATCTGGAGCACGGTGAGTTATGTGAATCTTTCGGTCTCCTGAACGTTGAGAAAAAATCTGGCGGACTTTAAAAAATTTTGGCATGACGGAAGGGTTTTTTTAAAGTCACCACCCGCGAATTTCCAATTACTAACTTGGACGGCAGTGTTAGCTAACCACCAGTCTGGCAGCAAGGCATTCCCTGTGCACTTAGTAAAGAGCTAAATTCAAAACTAACAGTTTATATGTACGTTTCTTACCAATAATTTTATCAATAAAATGATGGCATTATAAAAGGGGCGTGTTCGATATGGAGTGTGCAATCTGAAAATGGGTCAGAGTGGGCAAAACGTGCAAACAAACCCCACGAATTTAATATAAATATTACTACGAAGCAGGATTTGGAGTTAGCAGCATAATTTATGTCAGTTTGGGGGCAAAAGGGTGGTTTTGATTATTGAAACTCTCGTTTAAACTAGTTGGTACTCGCACATCACACCTATTAAGATCATATGGTTGATTATGTATCTCTATAGTTAAATTTAATGGTATGGCGTTTTGTAACTTGCTGCTGTTGTTCTTGTGAGACGCCAGACCTGTCTAAATTTTGGATTAAACCTTTCACAGCAGCATTGGCCCTGAACAGGCACAAGGTAGATCAGAAAAACCTGAATGGACTTTTCCAACTCATAGCCTTCATCTTGGTATCTCTTAGCATGGCTGTTGTTTGATATATGTTGAACTTGCCTTTTAGTACAGGCTCTAATCTCATAACAACACAAGCGTCTTTGTTGCAGTCCTGCCCCCGAGATGATTAACTCAGAGAGGGGAGCTACCAATGCTGCGGCAGCAGAGCCCAGCGACAAGAAGGAGATGGAAAAGAAGAAGAGGTCCCGAGTCAAACAGCTGCTCAGTGAGGTGAAGAAACAAGTGGAATTCTGGTTTGGCGACGTCAACCTGAGCAAGGACCGCTTTCTGAAAAAGCTCATGGAGGAATCTGACCGTGGATGTAAGAAGCTATCAATACTTTATACGTTTCACTGACTCTTTTTGACTTGGGAACAGCCTTAAACTTGTTACCACACATTATTTCTTATAGATGTTGATATATCTGTGTTGGCAAGCTTCAATCGAATGAAGCAGCTGACAACTGACACAAAGCTCATTGCCAGGGCGCTAAAGAATTCATCTGTAGTTGAGGTACTGTAAAGTAAATTTTCATTTTGTTAATGCTTTATAACTTACAGTATTTGCATAATATAGAATCATTTAAGTGTGTGTGTGTGTGTGTGTGTTTGTGTGTGTGTGTGTGTGTGTGTGTGTGTGTGTTTCAGCTCAACCTCGAGGGAACTAAAGTAAGGCGTCAGCTTCCAATAGGGGAACTACCGAATGATGTGGACAGTCGCACGGTTTACGTGGTAAAAAAAAGAAAAAGTCCTCTGGTGTCTGTTTGATATGTTTGCTTTTCACGTGAATTTTAATACTTTCCATCGTTTTAATTATCACCAATTAAAGAGAGCAGAAACGATTCTATACATTACACCTGAACGCAACATTTCTCTATGATAATAATGTGATGTAACGTCTATAATGTGATAATGTGGTCGCCTTAGGCACACGGCTGTGACTACGCCCCACCTGCCTGTCATTCACATTTTCTTTAACCCTGATTCCAAAAGAGTTGGGACGTTGTTTAAAATGTAAATAAAACCAGATTGACAGCAAAAGGTCTCATAAAAGTCAGGACAGGGTCATGTTTCCCAGAGGGTAGCATCCCCTCTTCTTTTAACGGTCTGTGAACATCTGGATACTGAGGAGACCAGCTGCAGTACTTTTGGTAGAGGGCTAAAGATCACAGGCATTCAAATAATGGTTTTCATCCTTTTCCTCTCACACACTGTCCCAACATTTTTGGAATCGGGGTTGTATATACAAGTTTCAGCCAAGCAAAAGAAAGTCTTTAAAAAGAGAGGATAAGGTGCTTGGTGCATCCACTCTTTGTTTCAGTCAGGACCAAGTATTAGAACAGCATCATCTTCTCCCTGTTGTTCGCCTGCTCTAAAATCTTCTTGGATCCCAAACTAATGATTCTTTCTTCTTCTCTTTTTCTAAGGAACTTTTGCCAAAGGATGTGACACACAGCTGGATAGAAAGAGTGTTCACAAAATGTGGAAATGTGGTTTATGTCAGCATCCCCAGATACAAGTCCTCCAGGGACTCCAAGGGTTTTGCCTTTGTCGAGTTTGAGAAAGAGGAGCAAGCACAGAAAGCTATAGAGGTGAGAACTCAGTGGGAATATTTCCACAGCTATGATGTCGTTGACGTTAACGTGGTGTTTGTTTTTGGCTGGTAGAAAAGATCATGGAAGAATTTGATCTTTCAAACAGATGCTGAACAATCCTCCTGAAGATGCTCCCAGGAAACCAGGGATTTTCCCCAAGACGTTGCACAGGAAGCCAATTTCTCTCTCAGCTGACAATCCAGCATCTCGGATAGGTGATTTTATTTGGCGCCGTTGCAATATTGAAGTAAAGGATAGCGCTGCAAAGTGTATTTATCCTGGCTTCTTTACATCCATGTGCTGCAGGTGAAGAAGAAGAGAAGAAGAAGCGAAAGAAGAAGAAAAGGAAAGAAGGTGCCACGGCACAGGCGCCCGCAGAGGAAGTCAAAGAGCAGGCGATGGAAGCGGAGGCGGCTGAGCAAAAGAAAGATTTTGACCCAGAGGCCACCGGCGCTCACAAGACACCAAGCAAACTGTCAGAGAAGAAAAGACGGCGGTCACATACGGCGGAGGGATCGGAGAGCGATGTACCATCGAAGATAAGAAAAACCAGCGAAAGTGAAGGTGGGGAGAGGGAGAAAGACGGAGCACGGAGTAGTAAGTCGTCTCTAAGCCACCAGTGTCAAAAAAAAGAAAACTACAAAAAGATCTAAATGGGACAGCTGTTTGTCATTTTACCTCCTCATTGTTCCTCATTTTAAGGTCAAATTTAAGTCTTTTTACACCCAAACCACAAAGTTGGTTGTTGTGTTAACGCTGTCCTTCCCCTCATAGAGTCGCCCACTCACAGGGACGCACAGCAGGCTGTTGAGAAGGGCAAAGAAAACAGAGACGACTCAACAGTTAAAGCAAAAAGGAAGAGAAAAAAGAAGCACAAAGAGAAACTGAAAATTGGGGAAGAAGTGATTCCACTCCGGGTGCTTTCAAAGTACGAACCTGCATCCCTTGTTCTAACGAGTTAATACAATTGTAAAAGGTTTTATAACTAGCAAACTGAACCCACTCTGTCGGCCGTGTTATTCCTTCTTTTTCCACATCAAGGAAAGACTGGCTTGGATTAAAGCAGGAGTACCTGACCTTGCAGAAAAGCAGTATGTCAGCCCTG